TTCTAGCTACCTACAGGTCTTTATTTCCACTTATCTAATATCTTTTTTTGTTTTTCTTCTCCCGCCCTCGCTCACTTCATCTTGTAAGAAGCTGATGATAGGTACTGTATCTTAGCAACACGTCTTTTTTTTTTTTTTACATGGTCTTAACTGGACTGCAGTGAGACTGGTATCCCTCCTGACACCCACAACCAAAGAAACAACAGTTCTGTGGTCCCTCAGGAGCGAGGCGGCCAGTCACTTTGAAACATCCTGTCTGTTCTGGAGTTAGTAAGCCAGAAGGATAATGGTTGAGGAGAACGACCTGTTACCATCTTGACAACAAATCATCCAGTGCTGGGATGAAAGGTTTACTATTTATGACATATGACTTCTGGAAGCAATCTCTTTCATATTGTACCCTATAACTGACTCTTGACCTTCATAACTTGAGCAGGAGATTTGTCAATGGAAGCTATTTTCTGTGTATGTGGCTATCACCAAAATCCCTTCTCTGTGACTACAAGCAGTACTTTTAAGGGCTGTGATAGTTCTGAAAAGCTTACAGAGCAAAGTAGCAGAAAAAGTCTTCTGAAGCAGCACTATACCGGCAAGAAATTATTTTATTTTCTTCAAACAGTCCCTGTCTGATAATGTTGTACAGGGAAACATAAATAAAGGACTTGACTTTTCCTGAAAACACAGTGAATGTTTGCCAACCACTTTTTGGGTGGCCATACTTTTTATGCAGGGCACTTCCTTTAAGCTTCTAATGACAAGTGACCTTGGGTGAAGGGATTCTTAGAGACTAGGTCAGGCTTTTAGAGTCAGGGGAGTTCCTAGTGCACTGAGTCTATCACGCCTGGAAACCAAGCAATCAACTTGTGTATGAGCAAACCTTATAAACCATACAAACTCCCTTTTTAAACCCATAAGGAAACAACTGTTTTCCAAGCAGCATGGGTTATTAAGACTTTATGATGGGCTGATCATTCATCATTAGCTGCTCACAATTTGTTGTTGTGTTCAGTGATTTTAAATGAGGAAATCCATTCATATTGTATGCTCGGGTGCAGGGTGACTTCCAGAGGGGACAAAGAGGTGTGAGTTGGTATGCTGAGAGCAAAGGCCCAGGAGCAACGGCACTGACAAACTGTTGACATCAATTCATAAATCAAACAGGGTCACTGCCTCTGTGAAGAACAGGGCTTCACTTCCCACAAGTCTTGACCCAACAAACACCTCAGGTAAAAGAAAGCGTTTAGCCTTCCACTGAGAACAGACATTACTTTAATCTAAGTTGTGTTCTGTAAATGTTCATTCTGCCTACAGCCCGATCAATACGATGTCAATAAAAGTAACAATCTGTGAGAGTTTCAAGAAGTATGATATTAGTTTAACAAAACTGATACATTTAAATAATATTTGTGGTAAGAATGCTTTAAATTTTTATAGATAAAGAACTGTGAGCAAAAATTTTTTCAGTTGAAAAGTAAATCGGTCAACACCCTCTGGTGGTCAATTTATGTATAATTTGCTGTAATGCTTTTTTTTTTTAATCAGCCAAAACACAGTATAAGCAGATACCAACATATGTGATAAACAAAATTCAATATAATATTTACCATGGTAACGTAGACTTGATATTGGTTTTATTATATCATATTTCTTTCTTAAAAGAGCAGCTTTAAAAGTGAATTCAAATGTAAGGCACTTGAGAAATGTGCCCCTAAAAGCTGCAATGTTTTCAGCATTGGAAGAAGCAAAGTTTAATAATTGGTTCTGAAATTACTCTGACTGGGTGCATGCTGAATTTATGACTATACATTAATGGAGATGATGTATGATGTATGTGAGACTTAAACAAACAACCAAAAAAACTTTAGTTTTATGACTTTATTTTTGAGTAATGCACTGGAATGCCAGGTATTTGATTTTACTGTACAGTACATGGCTTATCAAGGGCTGCCACCTAACAGGTGATTTATCAACACCCCCATATCAAAAGTTATTCAGTTTACATCATTTGAGACAGAGAAAAACAAGAAGTCCTCATGTTACACAGCTCATTATGAAAATATTAACTGATTAATTTTATATCCTTCTAGCTTACTACTCGACTTGATTTGACTAAGCCCACAGTTCTAGCCACACTTCACTGAGTGATTTAAAGGCATTTAATGCGAGTTAACATGTGAATTTTATTTTTAGAACATCTCTAAGTCCAGTGGTTCAGCGTACAGCACTGCTACTGTTTTACTGTCTCCCCTTGTCACCCTGCTATCTCTGACAGGGGGGACGCTGATGTGAGAGCTAGAAGGGTTACCACATGGCTTTTATCCAAGTAGAGGCGCTTGAGAGCAGACCGCTTGGAGAGTGGGAGCGCAGTCGCGGGTTATCCATCGTCTGGTGCTAGATCTACCGTCACTGTGCCACGTCTGGCATCTTCCTTTATATAGACGAGAGAGAGGCAGCAAAAGCACTTCACTCAACGCGGATCCAGATTGTTCTCTCTTTCCTCTTTTGCCCCCTCTCTCCTTTTTCACCGCCCTGATCAGGCTTAACCATCCTGTGGTTTGTAAAGGCAATTGTTAGTGCGCATCATCGCGGGAGCCAAAAGGAGGTTTGCAACTGTTCTATAGGAGACTGGTGAGTAGAGAGACTCAAGTTACATGTCCTTGATTTCTGGTAGCACGATCATTTTTGTTTCGTGCCTACACGCTAGATTCTGCCACTTTTCCTGTTTGATTGACATGTGATTGTAACTTCTTACTACTCTACAACTTACATAATAGTAAGAAGATAATGAGTGGGTTGGTCGATTTTCATGTATGCCTGCAATGGCAGTTGTGCTTTTTATGCCATGAGTACAGCTTTCACAGTATTTAGTGGTTAGTTAGGTCTAAATTTTACTGAAAACTTGTTTTTGTTTCTGGTTGAAGAGCATTCATGCACAATGTTCTATTCTATTCTATTTTAGAATTCAGAATCAATAGTTAATGTGCCACTATGCTTAATTTCACATGATTCTTTTTTATTTTGATTTAGGCTGATTAAAGGGACATGCAGCTGCATAATCGGTGGAAATTAATTAGACTGCTTTGACTTTTTACATAAGACTGGGCTCTTACATGAACTGGGTTTGCTCCTATTTATATTCCCCAGAAAAGATTCAGATTACAAAAAAAGCTGCTAATCCATTTCAAGTTCTGGTTATGAGGTCACTTTGAAAAGAAAAAAACATCTTTTTCACCTTTACTTTCTCAGCGGGCTGCTGGAGAGTCATGACAGCTGAGAAGAGCGGGCCCGTTATAAACGGTAAACCAGAGGATGGCAGAGACTCGGAGGGGTCCAGTTCCAGCTTAGACAATAAGAACTACAATGAGAGGGGCCAATGGAACAACAAGATTGAGTTTGTCCTGTCTGTGGCTGGAGAGATTATTGGGCTGGGCAATGTCTGGAGGTTTCCTTACCTCTGCTACAAGAATGGAGGAGGTAGGGACATTTTCCATAGGTGTGCCTGTAGGATGGACACAAATCAGTTGCTTGTCAGAGAATGGAGGTGGGAGGAGAAGCTTTTGTGTTAGAAAACTGGTGGGCATAGGACAAGCTCCCTTGCAGGAAGGTGAAGGTAATACTGATACTCTGCATTTAAGAACATACAGTATGTTGCAACATTGGAAACACATAAGCAAATATTATCTGTGATCAGATAAATATGTAGAAAAGGATATTAATGTTAAAATGTAAAAGACCCATTGCTGAGTAAAGGAGGTAAGACAAGCTCTCTTATATTCTACTGCACCAAACCTGGAGGTCCATTTCCATTACAAGCTTTCCTTAAAAACTGAGAAGGCAACACAAGTTTCAAGATGCCCTTTATTAATTTATCCTTTATGTAACATCATGTCAATAAAAGAGGTGGGCTCCCTCATTAGGTCAACATTAGACTGCACAGTATGGATCCTCCTCATTGTCTAAAAAGGTTATCCACTAGTGTGAGGGTGGTATAATAGTCAATGCTTTCATTTGAACTTTGTCAGTTGAGCCCTACATGCTGTAGGCATTTATAAAAGCTAATTTTGTAAATGGGTTAAGGTACACTTTGAACTGGTATGCTGTTGGGCTTGTTATTGTAATGTAGATTATGTGATATTCATGTTTCGTATGTATTTCCTTTTGTATCCATAAAGGTGCATTCTTCGTTCCATATGTCATCTTCTTTGTGTGCTGTGGTATCCCTGTGTTTTTCCTGGAGACCGCCCTGGGTCAGTTCACCAGTGAAGGAGGCATCACCTGCTGGAGGAAAGTCTGCCCGCTCTTTGAGGGTAAAAACACACTCACTTACTCTATGTTTTAGCACATTGTGCTCAGGATTTTCATAATTTAAAACACTTCTTTTTAACTGAAACAAGGTAGGTGATGAAACTCACACACACACACACATCATTTTGCGTTTTTTGCTGTTGTTGATTTTTAACCAGTTTTTATTAGCTGTGTAATCTATCGACATCTACAGATGTCTCACTAACTTTGGTCCCTGCAGCTGTGAAAGTTGCAATCATTTGAAAATCTAGCCATGCACTCATAATTTCTTCCCTTTGTTTCTTCAGGTATTGGCTATGCAACGCAGGTGATTGAAGCTCATCTAAATGTGTACTATATAGTGATCCTAGCCTGGGCAATCTTCTACCTCTTCAACTGCTTCACCACCGAGCTGCCGTGGGCTGGCTGTGGGCACTATTGGAATACAGGTGGGTGGAGAGAGTAATGGATAAGGCAGGACAATCTTCTTGCAACCACAGATCATCTTGTACATCCTTTTTTGTTTCTCAAGGAAAGGTTAGAAAAATCAGACACAATCAGATGGTCATGTTTAGTGCCATATTTGCACTTGCATCTGCAGTACACTCCCAAAATGTGGTTGTTGTGTTTCTACAGAGAACTGCATTGACTACTATGGAGAAAACGCCACCAACATCACAAACCCCAACGCAACCTCTCCAGTCATTGAGTTCTGGGAGTGAGTACTTTTTTTTTTCCAAACTTTTTTCAACATATCTTCATGTTCACTCAAAATAATGGTGGCTTTTATCCCTGTGGGTACAAATTATTCATATAAATGTCATTTGCCCTGTAACACAGTGAGTAAATGCACTATCAGATCAAGCAGTCTTCAACATCTCAGGTGCTCCTTTTTTGTCATTATCTACCATACTGTTGAAAAGCTGAGTCTATGACAGCTCCAGACTGCCACACAGACCACCGCCCCCCTTAACCTTTCACCCAATAATTAGTCAGCTATTTTCATATTTGTGTGTCAGCAGGCCCTTTGTAGGCCAGCTGTCTCCCAGCTAGAGCCATGTGTGTGGCAGTGGATCAGGCCTTGTCAGGGTGTAATGCTGACCACACTTCCTGTCTCACTGCCAGTGGCTATGTTTACACTGGTGGGTCAAATCTAATATTCAGCTCACTTACACTATGAACCTTTTCAAATATGTTGCAAACACAACAGTTAACATTAAATTTTTATCTGTATTCTTGCACCTAAATCAAAGTTAAGTGGGAAAGTTAGATTTGAGCTAACAACACAAACACAACCACAGAGAAAAACTTGCCCAAAGAGCCAATCACCATGTTGCTGGCAAAAATAGCAATTGACAAAAACCTTGTTTAATCTGTGCCAAGACAGACTGTTGTGTTTCCCCCTGCATATACAGTATAAACAAATACTGGAGCTGTTATGTTAAACAAGCTGTATTTATCTATCTATGTGGATTTTTGTGTAGGTTTAGACTTCAAAATAGATATCTTAGTGTATATGTTTGATAGTATTAGAGTACTGCTGCACTACAAGTAGACAAAATATAGTACAAGATATGTGGAAAAATGCATGCCTTTGGTGACTTCAACAACTCAAGAAATAATTAGCACATGAAATACAGTTTCACACAAAACATATGTGGCTCTTTGAGCCCATATAAAACCAACTGGCACACACTTCAGTACACGCACAAGTATATTTACACACATTAGTGTTCACATCTTGCCCTCTCAGCTGGCCAGGGAGGGACAGGGAGGCTGTGTTGGAGTTAGGCTATGGCCAGCCACCAAGAACATGTCATGATGATCAATAGCTGGTCAGGAGCTCCAGGGGTGAACTCGGTGGCAAAGATTTGGCAGCTCTGTGGGTCCAACTCTCGCTTCTCATCCTCTATGAATGCTGCTGCTGGGCTATACTTCAACAGGAAACATGCTGTTGATTCACCACCACTGACAAGCTATGATGTCATTGCTGATAACGTGCCCTGCATATTGCATTCATGCTGTTACACCTATTACACTGAATAACTATTGAAAATTCACAATGTCAGCAACTTATAATCAGACGGTGTGATTTCTCTGCAGAGGAATATAGTTGGCCAAGGTGTTCTCAGCTGGTGTATGTCTGTTTACCTGATGATATTGTGCTCTTGGGGGCCACCAAAATGTCTGACAGCTACTTCAGTTTAGTTTCCACCTAATTAGGAGGTGCAGCAGAGTAAAAACTGGCCATGGCGAACTGACATAATGATTCATGGAATTCTGCTGAACTGCGCTTTAATGTGGCTCACACTGCTTAGGTGACTTGTCTAATGGTGGGCCACTCCTGAACGTTGTACTTTGACCATCATTTAAACATGGAGCTTTTATGGGCTGAAGGCTCAACATGACAAATTTGAACTAGTTCTTCATGGCTACCTTAGTGAACCAGAGCGGACACCTCCCCGCCTGTTGATGTAGGCCACTGTGTTGTCGCACCAGGACATCCTTGGCTTTCAGTAGCAGCTCAAAGTGTCGGATCTGAAGCAAATGGTATCTGCAGGTAGAGCTGCAATGCTGGTTACTGTCTTTGTCGTGCAGGATTGTCACCATGTCATCAGGAGTACGTCAGTGAAGGTGTCCTCCCATTTAGGACACCTTCTTTTTGTTGGATATGATCCCATAGCTCACTGACTACATTTGGTAAGAGCTTATAGTCAGTAGAGTGAGGATGATGTGTTTTTTTTGCAGTTTTACCAACTATGGGAGGCTTCTCACATTGAAAGCAGAGGAGACAGTAGAAGGGAGAAGGCCTTGTTGTTGCACTTTGCTCTCTCTACATGATCAAATAAGACGTGGAAAGTGAATCACTTTGCATTGTTCCTCATAGAATTAATTCCACAATTGCTACTTGCATATTTACAATCTTAACCTGAAGTTGCATCTTCAACTACCAGTGTTCAGGTGAGCACCGAGCCCACATGAATGGAGGGGAAAGGTGGCTGTAGCATGAATCCCAGAGAGTGAATACGATTGTCCTGTAATCCTGCTCAGTGTTCCATGAAGCAATACTGCTTTAAATTTTTCAGAAAACATCTTCAGTAGCTTGTACTTTGTCATATATTAGCCCAAATCCCTGTGGCTGAACTAAATGCCTTAAAATCAAATGCAAATCAGTAAACATGTGTTTTCTGTACCAAAACAGACGCAGAGTACTGAAGATATCAGATGGTATTGAGCATATGGGGGGAATGCGCTGGGAGCTGGCCATGTGTCTGGCCCTGGCCTGGTTCATCTGCTACTTCTGCATCTGGAAGGGACCCAAGTCAACTGGCAAGGTAAGACAGAACAGGTTCACTATTGTGACTGTGTGTGTATGGTTGGGTCTGTGTGGTTGAACTGTTTCTACTGAAATACAGACATATGAGTGAGTATCACCTGGTGATTTCACGTAATGGGTGTAATGTGTGCTGTTATCTCTCTGTCCAGCTTTTGTTTCATATTTATACATGAATGTGTTTTCATGCTATTTTACTGCCGCTCTCAGTTTTTATTCACTGGAGCAGTTTTAATTTTACACATGGAAACAGCCACAAGCTAAAGCACTTTTTCTTTCTTGTCATCAAAACAACTCAAGCCACTTGCATTCCCCCCTGCAAGTGGAGGACTAAAAGAGTGTCTGCACCTCCCACTTCTACCTTTCCTCAAATCACCCTTTCCATTTTAATTTCGTCTTTGAGTCTCTTCTAGCAGTCTTGAGGACAAAGTAAGGGCTCTGCACCTTGCTTCAGGCGCTCAGTAGCCCTTAAGAAACTCCTCAGGTTCAATGGGCCAGAATGAGTTGAGAGATAGAGATGAGGAAAGAAAGAGAGTAAAGAGAAAAGACAAGAGGTGTGTGAGGAAAAATTAATGGGTTCACATTCTACATCACAGGGGGGAAAACAACTAGGCGGCAATGCCTATATCTCCCTGAAGTGTCTTTTGTCTGGATGTGAAGTAAGAAGGGGAATGCTTCTTCATGGCCGGGCTTTAGCAGCCAGTCCAAGATTGATTCCTGTATTCAGTGAGGGAAAGGAGAGCGTTCATGAGGAGCATGCAGAGTATATCCTCAGCCTCTGCCTCTGCTGCCTCTCTCTCTGTCTCTCCCGCTATAAGAAATTAACCACAGCCTGCTCATTGCGAGAGAGAGGTGCTTTCTTCTCCCCAGACCCTACAGCCCATTCAGTTCCAACTCTACTAAGCTGTTTGCTTTTGTTGGCCGTACTCGCTAGCCATTCTCACATTTAAGCCCTGCTATTAGATTTATCGAGGCAGGGGTAAGTTTGACCAGTAAATTTGTGGTGGCTTAAATGTTTACCCAGGGTGAGCTGGAAGAAGCATGTGGAGCATCAGAAGTTCATGGAGAGACTGAATATTGTCCTTTTCATCTCCAGAGAGATGGAAAGAAAGAGGCAGAGAAGGTTTAGGATGTGTAGTCATTTTCTCTGACAAAATTAAAAGAGGGAACTGTTGAGCAGGAGGCAGGTTTTTCCACACTTTGGACACTCTCACTAAATCTCATGGATTCTTACTGTTGAGATACTACCTTGGATATGATTCCCTTTATTTCTATAGCGTTATTTTGATTCCAGATTTTATGATTAGTTGTTTTGAATAGCAAAATGTTTTCAATTTCTGAATGACTGAGAACACAGAAAGGTATAAGTAACATTTTAAATTACATTTTGTTTCCTCCCCATGCTCTAACAATGACCGAACTTCTCTGGAGTTTGATTAAGCTGCATTGATTTCATAGTAACACAGTACTGCACGTATGGTGTGTGCTTGCATGCAATATTGCATCTTTAGGCTTGCACGTGTGAATGGTCCATTTTATTTGTGTCTATAGCATGTGACCACCCATTTTTATGTTGTGAATGAAGTTGTGCGTGTGCGTGTGAGTGCGTGCATGTGTGTGATGCACTTCTGTGCATGCTTCAAAGAGAAGCACATTTTCCCACACTGCCAGCATCACTCCTCTGGGCTTCTCCTGTTTAAGAGCCGGGGCCAGAGGAGCCTTCTTTTCTTTTCAGTCCCCTGGCCTGGCTCTGTTATGTCCTGTTCTGTCCTCAATTGGATTTTGATTGGATGCCAGCAAGCCAGGGGATGTATGTTGCCTGCCTCCGCCTTCCAAGAGCCCAGAGTCTTTGTTCAAGGGGTTTCTAAGAGTCTTGAGATGTTGAGCACAATTCTGCAAAATTTGCAAAGTTTAATAAAAGAGGGAGTGTTGATTTGATGGATAGGAAGCATTAGCTACTGTACAGATGCTATGTGTGGTGTTTACCTTAGTGAAGTTGACTCTGGTACTGTGCCTGATACTCCAATTTATTGCCTGACCCTGGGTTCCAGGCTGTGGTGCTGTAAGCTTGGGGTATGACATGTCAAACACTGCTGTACACATATTGTATGTATTAGCAATGTTTGGCTAAAAACACCAACAAAAAAAACAAAACAACACATTTTTAAGAATGCCTCTGAAAGGTTGCATGTGTGCCTTGTGTTTTCTAATAATCACACTTTTTATATCATGATGCAACACATAAACACAGTATATATCTACAGCCATATTTGAAATCCTTTTTGCTCTGTTACTCTAACTTACTATTTGTGGAGTTTTGTATCATATTATATGAATTGTAAAAATCCACTTCTGACTCCCATCAGTATATAATTACATACAGCAATTAACTGTCAAAAACAGTCAACTGTCAACACTGAATATTGCTTCACTGTAGCTCTTACATTAAAGCACACTGTGTGTTCGTGTGGGACAACAAAAATATTAGCTGCAGTCCTATGTCTAACCTAGTTCTTCATCATGTATCCACTCTCCTTTCTGTTCTAACAGAATATGTGTTGTTAGATTACTGCCATACCCATGATTACCTCGTACCTTTGGATCTTAACAGTCATATGTTATTATGGAACTGTAAAGATGGCACAAAACCACAACCTATTTTCTGCTTGGGATTCTTTCAGTCCAGTTAAATCAGTGTCTTCCCGAAGCAGTTTAAAAATGAGGTAATGAGGAGGTGGCCATGTTGGTTAAAGCTCGACATTATTAAGTTTTGACTTTTTTTTGGTAGGGTTTTTTGCTTTTCACCACTTCATTTTGACTTAGTTTTTTGTCTGCATCATATCAGGTAGCAACTGCTGCAAATTCTGGCAGTGACTCAGTGTGTAATCTGTATCTAAATGAATTCCTAAACTCATATTTGTACCTGCAGGTTGTGTATGTGACAGCTACCTTTCCTTACTTCATGTTGTTGATCCTGCTGATCAGAGGAGTGACGCTGCCAGGAGCATATGATGGCATCAAGTTCTACCTCTACCCAGACATTTCACGTCTCTCGGATCCTCAGGTAGGCTTGGACCCACTGTATGTATCCTTTACTGGTAAATGAGTAAAAACCTTCAAAAGACTGATATGTGTAAAACACCACTTGTAAACATCAAACATCCCACTGCAGCTATTAAAAATGGGGGAAATGTGTAGTTTCATATGCTATAGCTGGTAAACATGTCAAGGTTGCAGAAGCTACTACTATCCTGTGGCTGCTATTACATTCATGCTGCTGGTAGCACACATCCAGAAACCCCTTGTGGTACTGACAGGGCTTTGTGGGATGCTTCATATCATGGACACTGTATTTCTTGAACCTGGAAGCTAAAGGTAGCATAATGATGATTTGATCTGCTGTCTCAAACTGCTGGCAGTGTAGTCAGTGTATCTATGAAAGGCTGAAGGTACCAAAGTAAAGCTTGAAGGCTTAAAGAGGCAAGACTCCTGGGAATGAACTTTTACCCCTGCCTCAACCCCACCTGTTGCCAGGGGGACGGGTGGTGTTAATGTTACTGTAATGTGATAGAGGATCCATTCTTTTTGTTGTTTGTTTTAACAATTTTCATCATTTAAGCAACTACTTGTTTGGCTATTCCATACAGAAAGAAAGATACTTGCCACCTAGGTGGTAATCCAGCTCACCTTAGTGGCAGTGGCATTATGGCTCAATGGGGAGGCAAGATTGACATGATCAGGTAAATAATGAGCTTTGAGAACTTGGAGAAGTTGAAATAACTGGATTTGAGGCTAACAGAGGTGGTGCATTAATATATAATTCATATAGACAGGTACACGCACACATACAGTACAGACTCCTTGACCTTGTCTGGAAAAGACAGACGGCTCAGGTCGCTAGGCAACAGTGGACCAGAAAATGTCAATGGACGGGGAGTCATGACAACGCAAATCGAGATAGCTGAGGAGTTTGAGTGAGAAAGAGAGAACGAATCAGAGCGGCTAGATAGACACATACATAGACAGATACATGGATGGATGGATGAATAAATACCTACATGGAAATAGTATGTGGATAAACCTATTTCAGTGGCAAAATGCAAATGTATTACTTTATATATTACCAGAAAGGAAAAGGGAAATAAATTTCAGGTTACTGTCAACATCACACAACATCAAAACTACAATTTGCAAGGTTGTTTCTCCACCACAAACTGGACTAAGTGACAGTAATGCAGATTCAGTTCATAGTTCAAGTTTTAAAAAAATTACCAATAATTATAGCCAGCAAAATATTGTCATTTATGATACTGTATGGCCGGATTTAAAAGTACCCATTCATTTTTGACTACTGGTGCCGCTATAGAGTTTTTACGAGTTGATCCTTGTCATGAGTATGAGAACACAGGCAACACGATGCTCACGCCTGCTGCCAGTTTCACATTTTTCTACTGTCAGTTGGACTGACAACTGTTTGTGCTAAAAGCAAATAAGTGTAACAATGTGCCAGCAAAGGTGAAGAAGAGCACTACAAGCTACAGTAGGAAACAAGTATGTAAACAATGCAGAATTTAAAATCTGCAATAATAATAATCATGGATGCTGATGTTCTATATGGAGAGAAATGCATAGCAGCGCTGGTGGGAAACACTAAATATTAACATAACTTTTAATTGTTTTCCAAGAAAACTCCAAAGGGCACCTTTAAGAAACTTTATATTAGTACACATTAGTACAAATTAATGTTAATGTTAAACACAGGCACTCACTGAACACATCACTTCACTGTGATCTCCCTGCCTATTTTATAATAACGTCCCCTTTATATATAATCTTTTAAACTTTCAAAATGAATCTTCTCTTTGATCACATCCTTCTTGTGAGAACTTGTAGATAGATACATACATAGACAGATACATGGATGGATGGATGAATAAATACCTACATGGAAATAGTATGTGGATAAACCTTGTTAAAAAACTTGTTTAAAGCATTTAAAGCATAAAAAATGAACTAATCAATAGCTTAATGCAAACAAACAAAAGAGATTAATTAGAAATTAAGAAAGGAGAGATGCCAGCTATCATGGGGTAAATAAACATTTTTAATCACATATAATTCTCAATATATGAAATGGCATTTCGAGGTGCATGAGTCCACACCGTTATTGGAAAATCAAAAAGGTCCTACTTCATTCATGTGGTACAGGTCCATGGGAAAAAACAAAATGAAACAGCTGGGATGGCTGTGGCTCAAGAGGTAGGGCAGTCGTCTCGCTGACCAGCAAGTTGGTGGTTCGACTCCCGGTCTCCCCGCATGCCTAAGTGTCCCTGAGCAAGACACTGAACCCCGAATTGCTCCCGGTGGCTTGATTAGCGCCGTTGTGTGGCAGCTGTCGTCATCGGTGTGTGAATGTGTGCGTGAATGGGTGAATGGTGGTATGACCTCCCTGTAAAGCGCTTTGGAAAAAAGCGCTATATAAATACAGTCCATTTACCATTTTGTAGAAACATTTGATTTACACTCATGGCAATAGTCCATGAGGTGATGCGCTGTGGGTGTGATAACAAGGAAACTTGACTGAATCTGTAACTGTAGATCCAGATGAGCCAGTCTGTTGCTCCTTGTGGTGAGAATAGTGTTATGAACGCACAGTACCATGCCATCAAACTTGGATGATAGCCTGTAATATATGAAGACTTAAAGCATGAAATGTTAACTTTTTGATAAACTGTACTAATTACCAGTTATTTTTCATATGATATCAATGCATTTAGGAAAGATTATTTTAAGGTGGGTTGATATTATATTTCTATAGTAAATAAAACTCCTGGCACTTCCAGGCAATGCTTCCAGAGCAGAAGAATGCTTTGTTTAAGCACAAGAGTAAGCCTGATTTGATGTTGCTCTTCTTTTTTAATAGTTTCTCAAGCTGTTGTCCATTGAGATGATTGTTTGGGAATATAGAAAATTGGGAGAAGCTGTAATGCATGCAGATGGTGAAGGATTGAGAAAAAATAGGTTGACAAACAGAGGCACAGGGAGAGTGAAGGAGGGTGATAAAGGAGCGCCGCTGTTTGGCAGAGGAAGCCATTACTTCTGACACCAGTGTTAAATTAGCTTCCTCAAGGACAATTAGGGCTCTGTTCTGTCCAGCAGGCTGTGTGGAGTGAGTGTGTGTGGCTGTAGGTTACCTGCTATTTTTACACCCCTGAACCTCATCTATACTTTTGTTTCTCTGGCTGTCTACCTCCTTCTCACCCTGCACCTTGCATCATCCTTCATTTCCACCCTTCTCACTCTCTCATACTCCCTAGTTTTTGCTGTAATCCTTCCATCCTTCCACCTTCAAACTTAATCTCACTCTGTTTTGTTTTGCTTCAAAATATCTTAATATCCAAAACATTAAGAACCAGGATGTTGTCGTGTGGTACAATTATTCGACATAAAAACAAAAAACAAACAAACAAAAAAGAGAGAACATCAGCGAAACAGTATATTATCCCACTTAATAGTTTCTTAACTTAACCTAAACCTGCAATATCTGACTTTGGGTGACAGGGAGAGGTGGACACAGCTCTAAACTACACTGACATTTTACAGTATAACCTCAAAAAACTGTTATGGTGAATGTGTTATCATCATTACGTATTTACTCACCCAGCAATCTGATGAATGTAATGCTGCCTGATGCCTGCTGTGGTTGCAGGGCAGTCAGAGTGAATCAGACAGTAAAAGGGTCAGCTGTAAAACCACATTCTAAATCTTCACGTAGTACAGAGGAAGTGCAGAGCAATAATTTACTCTGGGGTCGTTAATAAGAGTCTCTCTTTTCACACACAAATACAGTAGTCATGTGATCTATTGTTAGTGTAAATACACTGTGGTTGTAGTCCCTTTAATAAAACCTTCCCATTCAGTAAAAAGTGTCATAGCCAGTTCCTTGTATGGTTAAATTAATGTCTTTGAAACAGACCTTATTATTTCCAGAAAAAATAAAAAGGATGTACCATGGTTTACATTACACTAAAATGTTCTATGCAAAACAAGGATGATCCTCAAAAGAATAAGAGAACATCCATGCATACGAAAATTGAATCAGAGGGTTATGTTAGTGTCAGATATACAGTATTTTCCATAAAACAGTGTAATGGTCACTTATAGTTCATTGGAATTCTTTAAATTGATATAAATATTGAGCACATTTATTTCTCAAAAAAACTTCAAATCCAGTCGCTGCAACATGGATCATCAACTGCTGACCCACGAGCCACACATGGCCCTCTAAAGCTTTTGATCTGACCCACAGTATATTAAAGAAATCCAAAAATATGAGGAGGAAATTTGTATGTTCTGGTATTTAGAATATCTAGAAATGTTTTTCTTCAACTACCCTAAAATATTTGTAACCCATCAACCCATTGGTTCTAAAGACATTAAAATTCTTCTTGATGCAGGAGTCAGACAGACGTTGTTCACAATGCTGTGAGTGTTTGGCTGGTTGTGCGCTAAATAGCAGTAACCTAAGATTGGTTTTAGCCACTGTGGGAAACATAGGGGGTGTTTTTAAAATAATAATAACAACTAAAAAATATTGTAATCATTGTGTTTATGCTGCTGCACCAAAAGTGATCATCCGCCAGAAACAGATTGTGGTCTGTGGCAGCGTACAGTCAGCGCCCACTTTGTCTACACCTACAGCTGCTTTGCCTGGATCAAACTGTCATAAAATACAAATATAGGCAAAATGTATATCCCTATGGCAGTAGCAAAAGTATGTCTTTGTGAAACTTGACTGAGGAAAATGTAACTGAAGCGTGAGTAACAGCAGTGCACAGTGAGGTCAGACTGACTTTACCTGTTGTCAGTGGTGCCTGCAGGGTATTCATTATTTACCAAGGCTTGCGAGCTGCTTTCCTGTGCACCAATGTGTAGTATTTGGATTTTGTGCCGGTTGGAGTGCAACAACAGCAGCAGCAGCAGTCACCTTGATCAAAGAGAGACACCCCCCACCCCAGTGCACAATATAGTTTGCACAGTGGTTTTAGGATAAGCTTCATACAA